ACTGTGTACAGTCAACCATGGATTTTTTATTTACCTCTTTGACTTGATTACAAGTGCACGTAAAATTATTTAGGTGTTGCACTGTTTACACACTGCATCAATTTCATCTACCTTTATGTGAGCTAAAACAACAGTAAAGAACTTACAACAAGAACAACATTCACAGTACAGTCCCACAAATGGGTCCGAGGAGGCTGGGGTGTACGCAGACCTTGTAAACATAGATCAATTAGGTTGTATATATATTTTTAAAAAATAGGTTGTATGTTGGGGATCTTTTTGTTAAATTTGGTCCAGGTATCTTGATCATGGTGATAACCACTCTTATGGTTGATATGTTGATTATTGCTATTTTTCTTACAACTTTTCAGGTATGCAGCAATCTCGGGATCCTCTCCAACTGATCGAATTCAGCTGAATCCTGTAATCACTCACATAGTGTACTTTTGCTAAATTTCAAGATATTGTTCTGTTTGAGTGTTCAGTTTTAACCTTTTTTTTTCCCTTCATTCGTGGAAATACTTAAAGTTAATATTAGTAAATAGAGTATCAGATCATTTTTTAACGTTGAGTTTGATCATCTGTGATACTGAAGTATGTTGGTTACCATAATAACTCAAGTTTGGGGTATTTTTCTTCAGAATTCTGATCCTGGTTCAGTTTGGAGGATGTTTATTCTGCTGAATGTCCCATTGTTCCTGTTTTTATAAATTCTGCAGTATTCACTCTACTTGTTATCATAAAAGATTATGAGGACTATTTTAGTTAAATTGCTGAAAGAAATTGTGACATTTCTCTGTCCATTATAACCTTGCTGTTTTAGGTCCCCCCAAACGGATTTGGTATAGCTAAACAAGACCAAGCTTAAGCATAGGATTAAGTTGATCCTATACTTGTACTGGAGACTGTTGAATTCGGTTCAATGCCAAATGAGTTCTTTTCATTGGATTAAAAAGTTGTACTCTTCATTACGCATGCTGTTTTCTACTCACATTGTTACTGATTGATTTTGCAGTCCATCCCTAATTTTCCCGATTTATCTTCCAGTGAGAGTTCAAATATCTTGGGATCACTTACCTTGGGAAAGTATACAAAGGTGTTGCACTTCTATTCTCTTAAGGTTGTTGATGATTTTAACCCTCTTGGTTGAGCTTTGGCTGATATAAGACATGTTTTACAGTGGTTTAACGATGTTAGCTCGACCGACATATCTGATAAGTGTGAAGATGTCCTAAACCAACTATTTCGTCGGTATGGGTGCAAAGTAAGTCCAGTACTCTTTATTACGTATGTGATCAATTCTGTCAGACTCATGCTTTTTACATCAAGATTTGTCTATTTCAGAAGACTTCATGTTTGAAGTTCAGGTTCACTTTTCTGGATTTAATTTTGTTTATTCTATTTTTCTGGCTTAACTCTTTGCAATCAAGACAACAGAGATTGTCATACCGGAGCTTCGTGAGCTGCGCACAGCTCATACTGTTACTTTTGGATCTGAATCACTGTCCTTTTTGAATCCTGATTGCGAGGCTGGGTATTATTTTCCATCATGCTATTAGTACGACTGCTTGGTATGTTGTTTTCTGGACTAATATAGAATTTCTTTCATTTTATGTAGGAAAGGAGTTAGATTGACTAATGACACTCGCACAAATCTGGCACTTTTCAGATCATTTGCAGCATCTGACTATATATCTGCCCAGTGTCTTAGGTAAAGCATTAGTTACTAAATTACTTTCATACATGTCGAAATGATTTGTTCAACTGTTGTTTGTTAAAGTATCAAATTAGGGATGTGAAAGCTGCAGCAAGTGTATTCTGGATCATTGGCATTTTTATTTTGAACATTTGGTTCGACATTTAGTAGGCATTCCTAGCGTTAACTACATCAACGATTTTAGGTTTACTTACTTCACTATAAGCTCGTTGTGTGTAAAATCATTAGAAAGTTACCTGAGATTCCCTCCGTCCACTTTTAATTGTCATGGTTTCTATTTTTAGAGTCAAACTAACATTTTAAGATGTATTGTTTCATCATATTAATATGCAAAAAATTGTAATTTATAGTACTTTTCATATAGTTTTTGAATATCTAATTTAAAATATCGAATTAACTAATCTAATTTAACTTTGAAAATTAGTCAAATTGACTTTTGAAAAGCGCAACATGACAAATAAAAGTGGACGGATGGAGTATTAAATTTTCAGTTGGAGGAAAGATATGCTCATATGGAGTATGAAATTTTCAGTTGGAGGAAAGATATGCTCATATGGAGTATTAAATTTTCAGTTGGAGGAAAGATATGCTCATAGCTTGTGCACAGAAACAAATTTATACTCCAATAGAAGAGCATGTCAGAATCCATGTTCTTGTCATTAATATCATGGTTTCTTTACTCCATAGTTACTTTGCGTCTCGGAAGTGTCATTGAATGGTTCTTTTTGTCTATGTTTTGGAAAAATGTCAAGTGCCAAATGTACTACTATGTTTTCTTTAAATGTTAAAAGATTTCAGTCTTGCTATGGAATTGCATGTAGAAATATGATGAAGTCTATTCAATTTATTTCAGCTTTCCCGTGTCTCTTATTGCAGGCGAAGGATAATGTACTACCATATGGAGATTTTCAAGAAAGTAGATGTCATTGTAACACCTACCACTGGGTAAACTAATTTCTGGCAACTGTTTTCCTTAAATCTTTTAGTTGATGGGAGTATCATGAAGTGGGTTTCTGAAATAGTTATGTTAAAAGAGAAGTAGAATTTTCTGAAGTCATCTAGCGATATTTGACATAAGATTGTACTTCAATGGAAGTCAATTTTAGATGATTGGTGCAAAATAGGAACTATATGTTTCTTTTTACTTCACGTGGATAATGCTTAATCAGTGAATGACTCTACAAGAGTATTGAGGATAAGGATACTTCTCATGTCTTTGAAGTTGTACACCATAATTTAGCTTGACGCTTGAAGTCACATTTGTCTGATGTTATGATCCACAGAAGATTTCCGTTGAATACCTCACTCGCGAAATTTACACATCGAATGGACATGTATATGTTCATGTAGAATGACCTATACTGAGGCTTTTTACCATTTCGCAGAATTTTAATTTTTTTCCCAAGTAAATTAGATCTTCCTCTTTTTTCAACTGAAGTAGATGGACCAAGGGTTTTTGTACGTGGTCATTTATTTGAATCTTTATGTGGACCCACAGACTCTTAAATCCATAAATTTTCTATTTTTACTTTTTTTTTTCAGAATGACAGCCCCAGAAATTCCAGAAAGTGCTCTTGCAGTTGGAGAGACAAATTTGCAAGTTGTAGGTAGGTTAACATCTGTTTCTATTTTTTTTTTTAAATTATCATTTACAAATAAAGGAACATCATTTATTACTTTGTAGTAGTCATTAGTAGTCCCTGGATATATTAAAAATGAGAATGCTATGCTATTTCACGAGAAATCTTATAAATAAAATATTTGATGTTTGACCGGTTGGTAGATTCAGAAATTTGATTTTTGTATGCATTAAAGACAGATTGTACTTTGGTAGTTAAACTCCTGAAGCGTTCTGTCTCAAAATATTATCAATTCTACAATAGTTCTTTTTTTTTTTTGTTATGATGAGCAGCACCTCATGATGATCTGACTCTATTTAGACTAATTTCATTTGCTACTCTTTCAGCAAGACTAATGCAATTTGCTATGACAGCAAATGTTCTTGGACTTCCGGCAATTTCTGTCCCTGTAAGTTATATTCATCTTTTTCCTCTTAGGCAGTTATCTGAGAGTAAATCTCATTGAAGGATATGGAATAGAAGGACAAGAACCTGCATGTTGATAATATACAATCAGTGCTCCTATTCTAAGCATTTCAACTGTTGGTTCTTACTGCATGCTGGTTTACTGTCGAGGACCTGCTCACCTTCTTTCCAATTAATATTGACACAGCAGTAAAAATGAATGACTGAAAACTCTCTCTCTTTACAACTTCCTCCATTTGTATTTGCACAGCCTATGTTCGTTCCCTTCAAAACTAAGATGTCTCTTTGATTGATGGCTACCACCATCGGATTCCAAAACTCGTGGATGTCAAATATCACTCAACATCACGTGTTTTTTAACTATATTATTGATTTACTTTTCTTTTCACGTGTTAGATTGGTCATGATAAGCAAGGACTTCCAATAGGCTTGCAACTTATTGGTCGTCCGTGGTGTGAAGCTTCAATCTTGCGTTTAGCTGTTGCAGTTGAGGTATTCTCCTCGCCCCAACTAACAAGTAACAAACTGCTAAAATGTTCAAAAAGCATTGGAATGAGATTTTGACTTTGTGTTTTCAGGAAATGTCTGCAGAATATAGGAAGAAGCCAGTGGAGTTCTATGACATCTTGAAAGGGAACGGTTTTCACGACTCCACTGAGGAATAAGTTTTAAGCCTAACCTCAAAGAGAAAACAAGATTTTATCACAGTGTGCTTAGCGTTTTTGTGTTTTGTATCTCTTTTAAAATAGCAGTTAAATTTCTTTTTTGGCCATGAAACTCACGCACATCTTGTTTGTATAACTTTGTTCTTAATTATCTCACTCTTACCATAGATGCATATTTATTATATACAGCACAATATATAAAAAAAAATAACAACAAAGTTGATTTAGAAATCACAACTGAATTTTAAAAAACCAAAAAATAGAAAAAAAGAAAGCGTGTAAAATGTTAAAGCGCTGATAATTCTTTTATTTGAACAAAATTTACTCAACAATAATGATAAGATCGAATACTTCAAAACGTTAGCATGTTTGTGGTTGTATTTTGCAACAACCGAGTATAATAATATATTTTTTATTTAAAGATTATGAATTTCAATTAGTTTAGTCTTAGTTTGCCAAAATAGCTTTAGACAGTCAGTTTTGTAATATGTGAATAAAATTTAAAAGTAAAATTATTTTAAATTGAATTAAAAAAACTACAACGCCAGTAAGTTGTGACGGTGAGTCCATTAAAACATGGTTCCACTCCACCTTTAGCTTTCCAACTGCCGCATGGAATCAGGCGGGAGACTGAACCTTTTAATTCTGGGGAAAAGACGACGCAATACGGTTGTCGTCGGGAAATTGACACAATCGGCGCGGTATCTTCACGAATTAATTCTATTGACCACAACTCCCCACTCCCCAACAAACTTTGCTCCAGAGAAATAAATTTTAAAAAATGGCAATTTTTTGTTTTTTGTGGCGCATCATACTTGGACTTTCAAATGCCTTACGCATGTTGACAGCTGGCTTCGCCGCTTGCCGATAATCGGATCTCTATAAAGCAACTACGTTCTGCAGTATAACTCTGCATCTCTTTCACTAGTAATTAATCAATTGAACCGGCTGTTTGTTAGAAATGGGGAAAAAGTTAGTGAAGTTGCCGGCGACTGAAGTTGACATGACGGCCGCTAAGTATACGCCTCAAAGAGTTCAAGGTCTTCCCTTCGTCATTCATAATTTGTTTGCAATTTCCCCCCTTTTTTTTAAGACTTTAAAAGCTAAATTTCAAGTATTAGATTAGTTTACGTTTGTTAAAAGATAAATAAATAAAGAGTTAGATATTCGGAAATACACAAAAAAGTATCATAAGTTTGGAATTTTCATATCAAAATGGTGGAATATTGATACAATCTTAAAATATTTGTTAAAGTTACGTATGGTAGGAAATAGTTGTTGTTATAAATCTGTATTGTTATTTCGAGTTATTCAGTTGAGAATTTGCACCTACGGACATGCAGCTCCACATCTGACTGGATTTTGGTTGAAGTTATTTGTCATGTTGATTGAAGCACCAATTATTGGTTCAATGATCTTGATTCTCGTGAAGAACAAGAACCGAATAACCAAGGTTGGTTTTTAATGTGTCCAATTTCTATTTTCTTTTATGTCGTAAATATTCATGTCAAGGGGATGCCATATTCTATGATAGCTGAAAAGGTTAAGTGTTCATAATTGGTAGATGTTGAAGAATACTGTGATACCAGAGACTCCCATGTTTATACCTGAATTTCCTCCTAAAGGTTAGTTTCTATATCACTCTTTCTTCAGTAAGTTTTCTCTTTACGTTGTCTACGCTCCTGTCCGTCTTCTCAAAAGTGTGAATTTTTTCCCGCTCAGCTATCCTTGGTTTACGAATAGACCATCATAATGAGAAGGAACTGCTTGACTAGGACAACATCCTTGTTTAAATACGGTTCTCTTTTGTCCTATCCCTTGTAAGAAAAAAACAAGAAAAGAAAGGCTTATCTTTGTTTCAACCTCTTCTTTCGTTTATTTGTGGAGTAACAAATAGATTAAAGGAACATTTTATGATAAAACCAATGCTCCTTGAAGTCACTGACCGACTTTATATGGAGTGTGGATTTAGAGTCAGAACCTGGTGTTTTTTGCTTGGAAGAAGATGGGAAACCTGAAGAACGCGTTGAGTTTGCCTTGCAGTGTCTTCCAGATTACAATCCAGCCTGTATTTGGATTAATGATCCAACCACACCATTCCGCTATTGGAAGATTCGTGATTATACATATGCTTACAAATCTAAGCTTACAACTCCATCTCAGGCAAGCCATTGTTTTCCCAATTCTCATGCTGTTCGTATAAATGTATATTAGGATAAGCTTATTTTACATTTGTATCATAGGTAGCAGAGCATTTCATCTTAGCTATAGAAGAGTCTAACAACAAGAATCCACTGGCACCACTACTAATTTCTTATGATCCTGATGAAGTCAGAAGGCAAGCTGCTGCTTCCACACAGAGATTTAAAGAAGGTACTATGGTGTATATTTTTTTATGGTCATATACAGAGACATGTATACTGTTATCCCATTGTAATTCAAAAATATTCTTCCTTCTAGAGTGCTATCTGCATTTGACTCTACTTAGCTACTATTTCTTAGCCGCTGGGTTTGTGCAGGAAGTGAATTATCAATCCTGGATGGTATCTTCATAGCAGTTAAGGATGACATTGATTGCTATCCATATCCATCAAAGGGTATGTGCTCTAGTTCTAGTCACCAAAGTATAGTTCTTTGCCAGATTTAGTTTCAAACTTAATGTCTAACAGGTGGCGCAACTTGGTTTCACGAGCTTCGTCAAGTTAAGAAAGATGCTGTCTGTGTCTCAAGATTACGAAACTGCGGTGCAGTTATGGTTGGAAAGACAAATATGCATGAATTGGCCCTGGGAACAACTGGAAATAATGCAAATTTTGGGTGAGTTAAGCTTATAAGCTGTACACAATAGACAAGAAATTCCCATAGTTTCATAATAAGTAAATCATGATGCTAAAGCTCACTAAACATTTAATCAAGTCACACATTGAGTCAAATATTAAATGACCTTGGGGGGGGGGGGGGGAGAGATTGCTATGTACGTGAATTCTGACAATTTTAACTTTCCACTCCATTTAGGAAATGTTTTTTCATTGTAACAACAGTTTGGGTGGGTGGATTTCTTTCTATGACAGGACAACCAGGAATCCACATGCTCCAGATAGGTACACAGGCGGGTCTTCCTCAGGCTCTGCAGCTATTGTAGCTTGTGGATTGTGTTCTGCTGCATTAGGAACAGATGGAGGAGGTTGTCTATGATACCATGTAGCTCGTGAGTCATCTTATGAAATATTTGTATGTCATGTTTGCTAAAGTTTATTTTTACAGGTTCAGTTCGGATTCCTTCTTCCCTTTGTGGTGTGGTGGGCTTGAAGACAACATATGGAAGGACTGACATGAAAGGGTGAGCTCCTATTGTGGAGGGGGTCTGAATATATATGCCTGCATTCTGGTCTCCTTAAACCATGGTTTGGCGGGGGGGGGGGGGGTAATTAGTGATCCGGTACTTAAGTTGGTGGGAGGTACATGTACCTGGTGAATTAGTTGATGTACGCGCAGGCTGGCCCCAACATGATTGTTGTAAATAAAAGATTTTTTTCTTGAAGTTCCTTCTATGGCAAAATGAATATTCTAAGTTCTGCCTGATTGTAGTAATTATATGTGCAAATATATTGCTTTTTGTCAACTAACTTGTAAATCTGCTATACTTTGTTGTTTTCGCACTAGCTTTGTAACTCTTATAGGTAACTTTTTAGTCTCATCATTTTTGCCAGGTTGCTCTATCATAGTGGAACAGTGGCAATTGTTGGACCTATCACAGCAACTGTTGAGGATGCCATACTGGTGTAAGTAGTTGAACAGTTTTGAATGTTCCAGAGTGTACTTGTTTTGAAGTCCAGTTCTTATAGTTCTATAAATAGTGATGTGACAATGCAAATTGTCCTTGACTATCACCACTGGGGAAGATTGTGCAGTCATGTAGCTTGTGAGAACAACTCATTGTAGTACTTGAATTTATATATGCCCGTGAAGTGCTACTATCAGCAGAAGGTTTGATTATGTTTGTCTTAGTATTTGTGTGTATGCAGCTCTGCCTTATTTTGCTTAAATCTACTCTTCAAAAAATCTTAGAGGGTTTATCTCCTTTTATCTTGGGATGGGACAGAGTCCGATTCCTACCCTATTTATGCTTTGAGAGATGAAAGAAGTAAATATACAAGATTCCTTCCTCCAACCGTGCGAGTTAATCAACCTATCAATCAACTACTCCTTAATTTCAAACTAATCAGGATTTTTCTACTTTTTGCCTTTAATGAGCTTAGATTTTATCTTGGGATGGGACAGAGTCCGATTCCTACACTATTTATGCTTTGAGAGATGAAAGAAGTTAATATACAAGATTCCTTCCTCCAACCATGCGAGTTAATCAACCTATCAATCAACTACTCCTTAATTTCAAACTAATCAGGATTTTTCTACTTTTTCCTGAAATCTAAGTTGTGATATCTTACTGTCAGGTATGCTGCAATTTTAGGATCTTCGCCTGCTGAGAGAGTTTCTTTGAAACCGGTAATTACCCAAGAATATAGCATGCTCAAATCTAATGCTTCCTTTAAAAAATGAAATCGTCTATTCATTAAAATATCACTGAATACAAATTGATTGACCATCTGTTCTAGTTTCTTCAGTATCATAAAAAACCACAAGATATCTAAAGAGGAGAGTTATACAACTTCTTAGTTTTGGGAACCCTTATAGTATGTAAACCTTGGAGAAAAAGGCTTCTTGAGTGGTAGTTTCAGTCTTTTTCTGGTCTCTGGATAAATTCTGCAGATAGAAATCCTGAAACTGTGCAACTCCTGTAATAGCCAGGTTTACGTGAATTACAATATTGAAGGAAGCGACTTCTAGCTGATGTAGTAGGACCTAAACATCAGCTCTTGAGACTACTGAGAAGAGGTTGATCTAACTACTTTTTGTAGTTTAGATGAACTAGGGATCTTTGTACTTCTTATTCACATTATTCTTGACCTATGTTTCATTTTGCAATCGGTAATTTTCACCTTATGAGTTTCAGACCTAAGTTGTGCATGTGCCCGTTCCATTAAATTCCTTTAGAGTTTATTTACTATGTTTCAGGCCCTCCCTTGTTTACCAAATTTAAGTTCATGTGAGAACTGGTGCTCTATGGGATCACTGCGCTTGGGGAAGTACACTGAGGTAATTGCTTTTCTGGTTAAGACATGTCTGAAATGTTACTTTCTTGTAACTATTAAATTGTCTCTTGATTTTGTTACTTCAGTGGTTCAATGATGTTTTCTCAACTGAAATATCTGATAAGTGTGAGGATATTCTAAACCAGCTATCAGAAAAACATGAGTGCAAAGTAAGTTTATTTCCCATATCCAATTTCTTGGTTAAGTTTATTACCCATATCCAATTCTTTAGTTATGTCAAGGAATTGTCCCTGTTCATCTGCCAACTTGCTTGCATAGAGTACGGGGTCTAGTGAGCATCAATTTTTACTAACTACTTTCTTTCTATCTAGCTTTTTCCTATTTCTAAAAGGGTTTGTTTTTCTTTCCTTAATTGAAGACGATAGAGATTGTAATACCAGAGTTGCATGAGATGTTCATTGCACATGTTGTTTCAATTGGCTCTGAAGCATTATCTCAGCTGAATCCTGACCTTGAGGATGGGTATGTCTCCCTTACTGAGCAGGTCTTTCATGTGCTTAATCTGTCTTCTCTAGGATAGTACATGACATGATGGCATTATTCATATTCTTCTTGATGAATACCTTGCAGCTCCCCCGTATATAATGATATGTTCTTCATCTGATTTCAGGAAATTAGCAAGATTAACATATGACAGTCGGATAAGTCTGGCACTTTTTCAAACATATTCAGCGTCAGATTATATTGCTGCCCAGTGTCTTAGGTGGGGCATAATTTATCAAATCTTGAATTTGATTTGCACTGCAAATTTAGTGGCATTCAAAAAGATATTTGAACAGAGAGATGTGCATAGCTTGATCATTTGTTACTTGTTTTGGAAGTCTAAGACAGTGGTATTCTGTACTTTCGGGCAACGGTTGCATAAAATGACAGAAAAATCTTGTCAATGGCACGAGATTCTCATTACCATTGCCTGCTCGTATCTGATGAGAATGAAATTAAATCTTTTGGGTATATTTTATTTCGGATCCATTAGTTACGTTGCTACTCATAAATTTGCTCAAGAAATATCATAATCTCCTTTATGTAAGAATTTGACTGTTAGTCTTCCTAATTTTTTTCATGATCTCTCTTGGGCTTAATACTACGTGTTAAATCATCCACATAGGTTTTGTTTCTTTTCAAAGAATGTAGGTAGGATGAAAAATAAGTAAGAGAAGCCTGTAGTTTTTATGCTCTAAATTTTTTAGCTGCTCTGTTGTTCTCTCTAATCTTGTTTATCCTCTTGTGTCTTACTAATGAAAGCATGCATTTCAATATTTCTTGGTATTTTATTCAGTTATCAGTTAGGCTAGAAGTGCATTCTGTTCTGATATAGGCAAGATGCAAGTTTTTTAAGTACAATACATTACTAGATATAATCTCTCTTATTATTTCAGGAGAAGGTTAATGCATTTCTACATGGAGATTTTCAAGAAGGTGGATATCATTGTGACACCTACTACTCCGTATGTAACCACTAACCACATTTCAATATTTGGGTTTAGTGGATAAATTTTGTTATCACTTTATTGTTCATTTGAATGACCGTCTTGTAAAAATATTACACACATCTATCTCTTTATGTGCATGACCTAATCTGCAAATGCTTCCTTTAGTTTCCGTGATGTCTTCTTTCCCTTTTTTCTGTTTTTCATTGGATAGATGCTTGCTAATAGCATTATTTCCTCACTATTCCTATTAAATTATTGAATTTGGTCAGTGATGAAGCATGAATAAGATTTTCCTTTAACTGGAACAACAAGAAGGTGATAAGTTGAAGAGTGATTCCTTTGATGATGTCAGATCTAGAAATCAAACATTCAAAATGCCCGTGTATACTCATAAATGTTAGTGTTTGAAAAATATACATATATGTGAAAAACAGCAGGTTTGTTTGTTATTTTCTGCTGTTGAAATATGACTATCTGTGAAACCATCTTTAGCTGACAATTGTTTCCCAATACTTCAGCATGACGGCGCCCATAATATCACCAACTGCTCTTACAGTTGGAGAGACCAACATGTGGATTTCAGGTTTGTCGTTACAATACACTGGTTTATCTGTTTGGGTGATGCTGTCAACTGCTTGATATCTAACTGAGTATGAAAAGATTGATCATATGAGCACCATAGAGTAGTTCCCCACATAATTTTTTCTCTCTTTAACTTGGTAAACCCCAGCCCCCAAAACCTGCCCTCCCTCCTGAGACAACAGTAATTTATCCCACTTTTCTGTTGGTTTCGAACTCCAAACATTTTGGTTGGAAATGGGATGTCTTTCAGATGAAGTACCCATTTTGGTTGGAAATGGGATGTCTTTCAGATGAAGTAACTTCTCCCGTTGTTGCACATACTGATTTAAGAAGGATGATCCTCTATTTAAATATTCTTAAATGTAGCATAGCACCTATGTGAATTTTTTAAACTATTAGTTAGCTGCAAATTCTTAGCATTCTCCTTCTTTCTTATTTTGGATAGGTACTACTTTACAATCTTATATTGTTTTTTGTTCTCATACTCTCTCTTCCAGGAAGTCTTATGCGGTTCGTATTAGCAGCAAATCTTCTGGGCTTTCCTGCAATTTCTGTCCCTGTAAGCATAGCATCTTTATCATGTCTTGGGAATCTACTAACTGCAGATTGAGTTAGAATAACTTGCGGGAATATTGAAAAGCTCAATGTCTGAGGCGAACTAAATTCTATTTGTGGTCCAGTTACCCTATATCTAAAAGATTACTGCCGGTTCTGCTCTAATGTCTTGTTAAAGGTTTACTTGAGTTAAGTTAAAGCTTTTGTTCCGTGGAAAAGTTGTTAATGCTGAGCTGAACAAAAAATAGTCTTAGTTTAGTTTAAGCCTATGTCCTAGAAAGTCTGAGCGGGAAATACAATTGCATTACAAAAGCTCCTACATTAACATCTTCGAAACTCTCAACTATAAAAGCACAATTGTTAAAAGTGTTGTGGTTATATATGCTAGACCTATGGACTTGGCCTAATTATAGCGAAGCAGATTCATTTATATTGATTTCATTTACCGTGTGCAAACTATACTAATTATGGCGGTACCAGTAATATCTTCAACTGTTCTAAAATTTTGTTGGAATGTTGTATGTCAGGTTGGCTATGACAAGCAAGGACTTCCAATAGGCATGCAGCTCATTGGGCGTCCATGGTGCGAAGCATCCATTTTGCGCTTGGCAGCTGCCATAGAGGTATGGTTTACCCTTTCAACAAATGAGTTACTGGCTGTTTCTTGGAAAAGAAAACACCATGTTGATCTCAACGCCACTTGGACATCTATCTTACTTTGGACCAGTAAGTAACAGTAAGTGGTGCACATGAAAATATGACCCGACCATTGATTAACTTGACCATCTTGACCTGCTCATGTTGACTCAACTTATTTCAGCCCAAGTAACCTTACCCCACATTAGTTCAATCTATTTTGACCTGTCCAAATTCAATCAAACTCACTTATTGACACACCTTCTATGTTACTTTTCTCAGGAAACTTGTGCTGGGCCTAAGAAGAAGCCAAAGCAGTTTTATGATATTTTGCAAGGGAAACTGATGTGAATTTTGGGATTTGAGCTTTATATATTGGTGGCTCTTCTCATACGTTGGTGGTTCGAGAAGGCATAAAACTGTATAAGTGGTTCATCTTCTGTAATTTTGGATTAGCCAAAAAGTTCCTATCAAACAATTTTATGGTTAATCCAACTGCATTAAATTCCTACCTATCTTTTTGGCTTAAAGTTGTGTAAGTTAATTTGTTTTATCAAACATAATTTCCGAATGACTAAAAGCAACTACATGAACTTCTTACCTAATCTTTTTAGCTTAAAGTCGTGTAAAATTAATCTGTTCTATTTCTAAACAATTGAAGAAAAATAAAATAATCAATACGTTGTTCAACTTAATAAGAAAGTGCTAAAAATACAAATAAAAGATAGAAAGTAAAAAGTCAAAACCACTACTAACTCGTTCCATATCTCATATTATTTGTCATTTCTATTATCAAGATAAAATTAATCATTTTATCTTATTTTGTTGAGTTTTTATTTTTCAATAGTTGACACTTTCCTTTTAAGAATAATATTAAACTAAACAAATAAAGAATGGACGTGATATTAAAAAATAATAGACAAGTAAAACGGGGCGAGAAGTAATAAAAATGACCGTTCGTTGTGATTCATGCGGAAGTCTCCGAGTCTTTGAAATTGTCAATTTCAACTATAAGCTATAAAAGTAATTCCAAACGTGCGCTCACTCAACCAGTGCTCGCCGGCCGGCAACGAACTTCCATACTTGCTGAAAGAAGTAATTCCAGAAAGTTCCATTGATTTATTAAGCTTTATAATTTTGATTCTGAATGCTCTTTCTTTATGTGATGATTAGAGGTGATTTTTAAAAAAATATAGATTGAGAAATGGGGAACAAGAGAGTGATGTTACCGGCGAGTGAAGTTGACTTGACGGCGGTGAAGTACATACCAGAGAATATTCAAGGTTTCGGTTTTATCTTGAATGTGATATACCATTTGATTGAATTTTTGTTGTTACGATTGAACTATGTTTGCAATTTGTTCTTTCGGCAGCTCCACATTTGACTGGTTTCTGGTTGAAGTTGTTTGTGAAGTTCGTTGAAGCACCGGGTGTTGGATCTTTGATCATGAATCACCTTAAGAATGAAAACAAAATTGAAGAGGTTTGATTAAGTAATTTTGTATTTATATGCAATTTACTTCCTGTTGTGAATATGCATGAAATAGTTAACTAAAGACTGAAGAAGATATATTCATGATTGACAGAAGCTGAAGTACACCGTCATACCGGAGGGTCCTATGTTTAAACCTGAATTTCCTCCTCAAGGTTCATTCTTAAGCTAAGATATCAACTCGCTCTAAATTTGGGTATTTCCGTTAGAAATGAAATAGAAAGGTGCTTTATTGTGTTATATCCTCCCTTGACTTTGTTGGAATTACCTCCATTTTCACTTGAATGAACACTTTGCAAGTAAAGAATCAAAGGGAATAGACATGTTTAAACACCCAATGTGATTTAATTTTTATTTATTTTTAGTTATATTGTTGTACAATGTTCTCTTTATTGGAATACTCAAAGGGATAACGGAAGATCTGGAAATTCAATCTTGGCAACCAAGTTCTGTATTCCGACAAAGGCGGCATAGTGAGATCTTCCCTATTCATATTGGTGATGATAAAATTGTTTAAATTGATGCATCACATGGATGCAAAAGATGTATATGTGTATGTATGACCGTGTGCATCCACACACACAGAGATAAACATGTGGAACCTGGCATCACATGTCGATTGTGGCCTTCTTATTAAAAGCCTAGATGACAATGTTTACCTTGCCATGTTACAAAATTCTATACTTGGCACTAATTCAGTTACAATTTTCTGACTGTTGTAGAGCCAGAACCTGCTGTTGTAAGCCTGGAAGAAGACGTGAGGCCTGAAGACCGGGTTGGGCTAGCCTTGAAGTATCTTCCAGAATATGATCCGGCTAGCAATTGGAGTGGTGATTCAAGTGCACCATTCCGCTATTGGAAAATTCGTGATTATGCATATGCATACAGATCTAAGTTTACAACTCCATCTATGGAAAGGCACTTCTATGGTTGCTTGGTTTTTGTTTCTCTCTTCTAGTCTCTAGGATGAGAAGTTATTCCTTGTATTACAGGTTGCAGAGCGCTTCATCTCAGCCATTGAGGAGTTCAATAGTAAAAATCCTGCAGCACCACTATTAATTTCTTTTGACCCTGATGAATTAAGAAAGCAAGCTGCTGCTTCTACACAAAGATTTGAACAAGGTATTCTGATATTTACATCTTTCCCATGCTGTATACATGGGTGAACTGTAACGAAATAATACTCCAAAATTTATCAACATGAAAACTGTTCTCAGTCAGAATAATATTTTTCTGAGTGGGGATTATGCAGGAAACCCATTGTCAATATTGGATGGGACCTTCATGGCAATTAAAGATGACATAGATTGCTATCCCCATCCTTCAAAGGGTATATATTTTATTTTCATCTTCCACTGAGCCCTATTTCCAGATTTAATTATATACTTGGTGCAAACAGGAGCAACTACATGGATGCATGAGGTTCGTGAGGTAACGAAGGATGCTGTTTCTGTTTCAAGATTACGAAGTTGTGGCACAATTTTGGTTGGAAAGGCGAACATGCATGAGTTGGGCTTGGGCACCACTGGAAACAATGCAAACTATGGGTATATATTTTACATATTCTTTTGTAGAAAGGCTTTGTGCACATGAAGGCAGTCCTCAAACAGTTCCTTTCTGTTTCAGATGTAACGCTAGCATTTACAGACTTCCTTCACAGTGACCTATAATAATTGCTTCCTAAAATGTTTACATCCTGAGGTGGAAAACTCTAGAGTTGTTTATTAGTTGTTTTGAACATACTTTAGCGTCTCTTCCCTATAACTTCCAAGTTAAAAATCTCTCTGTGACAGGACTACACGAAATCCACATGATCCAGAGAGGTATACAGGAGGGTCTTCCTCAGGCCCTGCAGCTATTGTGGCTTCGGGACTGTGTTCTGCAGCTTTAGGGACAGATGGAGGAGGTTGTACACCTACACATGTCAAACTGAAGAATTCGCTTATTCAATCTTCATAAAACAGTATTTTATTGATGCTTGATTTAATGTGTAAGGACAGGTTCAGTTCGGATTCCTTCTTCCCTTTGTGGTGTTGTAGGTTTGAAGTCAACATATGGTCGAACTGACATGACAGGGTGAGCTCATCCTTCATTTGTACATGTGCCTTATGATATGTCTTTCTCCCTAACAGATCTTCCAACTGTATAGCCATCATTCTTGTTCCTCTTTTGTCAACCATTAATTTTTTTTTCTTGCATTTATCCTGCATCTTCATTTAGGAGGTTGTGGTTCATATATGCATGTGTATACATTAGTCTAGGACATCAACCTTTTATCTATAGTGATGATAGACCATCTCAAATTGGATTTGGTTATCTCAACAGATCTTTTTATGATTCAAGACAATGTTCACACTTTTTCACAATAACATCATTTTAGTAGCCGAAAGATGATATTATGATCATAAGTTATGCTATTTCCCGTCTACCACATTAGTATCACTTCAAATCTTTATAACTCCAGTGAGGATACTTAATGTGAAGTTTTATTTTGATGTAGCATCTCATAGGTTGCTTGCCTGTGTAAATGATTGGATGAACTTGAGTTATCGAGATAAAGAAATGAAGAAACTGTAGCTATCCAGAATGAAAAATGAAACTTTAGTTATCAGGGTAAAGATAAAAGAATTGAATTAGAAACTTATTTAGTTATAATTGTACAAAGATAATATGGATGTATATACCTTTATCAATAATATTGAAGATCAATGCTTAGGATGTAGCTTGAAATTACTGTTGGTTGGCTGCAAGAATTCCAAACTCAGTGAATTTCCATAGGCTGTGACTGATTTTGATGCTTATAGGGCTTAGTACACAATTTGAATATGGAAATATGTGTCCAAGCTTATCAGAAAAGTAATGACAGACAAATGATCTTCAATGATAAGACGAATCCATATAGATTTTCTTAAGTTGGAGAGATGAGTGATTCTGGTCAAGTGACTAGTGATTTCCACTTATGCATCGCCTTTGGTCAATTTAATTGCATCAAACCTATTATCTCTTGTACCTTCTTATTATTAAGTCAGTTGTGCATAGACATTCAATGTTCATGGTGTTCCAAATGGTTCTTTTTTCATGTTAAGGAAGAAAGTTCTCTTGCAGGATGGGGCAGATTCACTATAGCCTCTCTTTTATTTATCCAGGTCATTATGTGATGATGGAACGGTAGAAATAATTGGACCAATAGCCACAACAGTTGAGGACACCATACTTGTGTAAGTTATCATGGGCTTGAATATTGAGAATATGCTTACTCTTAAACATTATTAAACGAATGTTAGAATGACCTGGCCTCATTTTCCTATCATAAATCTGCTTGCTGATGGTAAAGAACAAACAAAAAGAATCTTATTATTGAGGAAAAGGAATGAGAATAATAGAGGTATGCAAAAAGATGTGGAATGATTATTCAACCATCTTGTCAGACCATATAAAAGAACTATAAGTGCATTCTGGAAATTTAGAATTGCATACCTCATTTAGATTTATCAATCAGACGCAAACAGTTAAATCTTGTCCAAGGACCAGTAATCCCATCAAGTGCCCGACTGTCAATTTCTAATTAGCAGTACTGTACAAAGAACCACTAGGATGCACAATGTGTTGTATGCGTAAATTCTAATAGCTGCTAAACCAGTGAAAGTACTTCTTGATTATTAGCATGAGATTGACAAGACAATCGGACAATCAGATTGCATAGCCAGCAAACTCAGTCAGTTTTACCTGGTATATAGTAGGAGGATTTAGATATTCTAATGATCTGGAGAAAATGCTAGTACAGAGTTATCCTTCCTCCTAAATGGTTGATTTTATGTGTATTTTTGTCAAGTATGCCTGGTAACTATGTCATGATATGTCTTCCCGTACCAGTTAATGTACTTTACCTGTTCCACCAACAAGTTCTTGCTTTAATAGCTTTATTCGTCTCACTTTTGTTTTAAATAAATTTACGATCGAAGTTGCACTAGGGAATTGCAGTGTGATTTGTTGATATCTTACTGCATTAGGTATGCAGCAATTTTGGGGCCCTCTCCTGCTGATAGAATCTCTTTGAGACCGGTAAGGTTGGAAACCACCAAAGAATGCGTATTCTTCTGATCTATTCATCCTT